TGCCCAGGCGGGTCTCGAACCCACGGGCTCAGGCAATTCACTCACCTCGGCCTCCCAAAGGCACGGGATTACAGGCTGAGCCACCGAGCCCGGCTAATTTTTTTTATCTATTATAGAGACGAAGTCTCGCCAAGTTGTCTGGGTGGGTCTCGAACCCTCGGGCTCCCAAAGCGCTGGGATTACAGGCTGAGCCACCAAGCCCAGGCCGGCCACATATTATTAACAGTGAACAAATAGAAGTACCTCTTTGAATTTTTTTAGTTAAATTCCATCTCTAAGATCTGCTCAACATGTAATAGAACAATAACAGTTTTCTAAAATCCAAGCATTGTACCTTAATGTTATGTTTCTTTGAACTTTTTTTTAAAAATCAAGGCATATAGATTAGAACCGCTGATACTGAAACACTACAGCAACATTTCGCCTGTCCAGATCCACTGGTACAATACTTCAAACCCTCTACCTTATGAACACATGAAGCCAAGCTTTCTCAACCCAGCAAAAGAACCTACCTCAGTTTCAGAGAATGAAGGCATTTCAACCATACCAAGCCCTGTGACCTCACCGGTCTTGTCCCGCCGACACTATGGGGAATCTATTACAAACATTGGCAAAGCAAGCATATTAGGTAATTTCTCTTAAGTGTTTCTTATCTATGAATATGAGCACTTTTTGGATAGACATTAAATTGAGGATTTTTTTTCTCCCCTCCCCTGCCCCGTGCCATGCAGCCCCCCCCCAATTTGGGGGATTTAATACTCTAATTGTAATACTCTTTGTGTTACAAAACTTCCAGCAGTTAATCCCCATGTCTGGAATTAACTTCCCTGTCATGATCATATTTGAGGACCAGAAAGCTCTCACGTTCTCTGATCAGATCAGATCCTGTAGTTTTAAAATTTGAAACTGCTGGATGGACCAGAAAAAGCACCATCGGGGTTGAGTCCTGCTTTGTAATCTTGGCCCTACCACCTGCTGTGAGATCTTGAGCAGATCACGTGATTTAATGCTCTGCTGCTCATCTGTGAAATGAGAAAGTGCTTGCGTTCTGAAGGTGCCCTTGCCAACGTGGGTCTGTTCTGAGTCTCTCAAACCGTGTGCTTCCTGAGAGCCACAAAGGTCTCATTTTTCTTTGGCTGACATTGCAGCATTTGGTGTCACTAGAACTCACTGACCTGCCGCTTGACTGTGCTCTGCTTGTGGTTACTAGTTGCCTTAATGTGAATTGCCACAAGATGGCGCTCGAGACAGACCCTGTCTGCTGGCCTCCTTTGCTTTTTCTCTTCGCCCTGCCCACACATGGCTTGTGGGTGGCTTTTAATCGCAGGTCCACTAACTTCTGTAGGCAGTGTGTCAGCAGTAAATCAGCAGTGGTCACTTGAATAAAACAGAATCTTTATTTCTTTGTATGTTCCTGTAAGTTTTCCCTTCCAGAGCTTACACAACGCTCATTCTAGCCACCATTTTTATTTAGAAACCCACAACATAAATTGTAGTTTTCTTATGTTCCCAGCCTAGAAAAACATGGCCAGAGCTTGGTCCCTCTGCCAGGTGGCTATAATTATGGGTGGTGCTCTTCAGCTTGGTGTGTGGTGTAATTCAGCAGAATGACTGCCCTGCTTTTTGTAACACAGGGGCTGCTAGCATCGGAAAGGGACTTGGAGGAATGTTGTTCTCAAGATTTGGGCGTTCATCTGCATCACAGACATCTGAGACATCGAAAGACTCAGTGGAAGATGAGAAGAAGCCTGTCGCCTCACCTCCCACCACCACTGTGGCAACACAGACCCTCCCACATAGCAGTTCTGGCTTTCTTGATGCTGCATGTTAGTTCACACGGTTCTAACCTTAAGCTTATGCTGTAACTTTTTGCAACTTGGGGAGGGCAGGGAAGTCTCAGCTAGTAATACTAGCAGTCAACTGTACAATCTAAAAAGCCTTAGCTTTTAAGGAAAAAATCTTTTCCTTGGGCTTATATTTTTAAGAATAATTTCCAGGTAAGTGCAGTTTTACTCTCTGCATTGGTGAATTAGTAGTTAGAACAGTGGGGCAACCACTTCGGGTCCCCTCCCACTGTTGGGAGCTTCTCTGGTCCTCAGTAAATCCTATTTTCTCACTTAAAAAATAAAAATAAAAAAATAGAACATTAACAACTAGGAGTCTTAAACATCAAGCATAAATCAAATCTCCTTGGGGTAAGAACCCCTGATTTATATAAAGTAGGTTTTTACTAATACAGTCTTGTCAGTCTTAAAAATTCATGTGATTTCTTCAACCTGTGCTTCTCTGGTCTTGAAACTTTTTTGAAACCGCTATGCCGGGTCCCTCCTGCTTCTAATCCCGGAGCTGCCTTCATTTTCCTAATGGTAAAACTCTCAGAGCTCAGGGCTCGTGCTGGATCTGCTACTATGTGGTTCCAGTCCGACCCCAGCTACCCAGTATAAAGCAGGTGTTCAAAAGGAGTTAATGACTGGGTAGTTGTGTTGAATTTAGCACTATAATGAACCTTTATGTGACGTTTTCAGTGGATTTACACAGTTTAGAATTTTGAATAGAGGTGAAACACTTATATACTTTGTATATATTTACTTCCAAGGACCTGAACTTTTTTTTTTTTTTTTGAGTTGGAGTCTCACTCCGTCGCCCAGACTGGAGTGCA